AATGGCTAGGGACAGCATTGTCTCCAAGACTCAAATGCCATCAAAGGAAAGTGTTTGTTCTCCTCCAGTCCTAGAGCGGGCTCTCACTTTGCGTTTCGGGGTGTGTGGGGGGGCCGACACAGAAAGGTTTGCTTCATCCAGTCATGGTTCATCCTCAGTAAATGCAGCTGAAACCTCTGCAGAGACAAGTTGCTAACCTGGAAAAAAAAAAAAAAAAAAGGTCAACGGGTGTCTTGGCTAAATGTTCTGGATGAAATATATCAGTATGATTATTAAGAAATAGAGTGTTACATCCAATTCATATCAACACAAACACACATATCTATACACACACACATACACACACAGGACAAGATACTTGAAACAAAGTACATCATAGGTGCCGTGTTAGTCAAAGCTTCTGCTTGGTTCTTTAGGGGATCGATGTTTTCTGAATCGGTGTCTCTGCTCTGTGGTGGACAGAGCTCTTGCTGGATGGCCACCGGGGGGGGGTTGTTGAGGCTCCAAAGCCACACCCTCGAGGCACTGGACTAGCAGTTCTGCTGGGAGGGGCTACCCTGGGATGTGTCCTTAGCCAGCTTTCCAGGTGCTTCCTAACTAGTTGCCATGGAGTCGACTCAGACTTGTGGCAACCCATGTGCGTCAGGGTAGAACTGTGCTCCACAGGCTGATTTTTTGGAAGTAGATTGCCAGGCCTCTCTTCCGAGGCACCTCTGGGGTCTGAAACCTCTAACCTTTCGGTGAGCAGTGCTGCATTAACTGTGTGTACCACCCAGGGACCGGCGCTTGATAGGTTCTCAAAAAAATGAAGAAAAGAAACGAATAAACAAACTCCAGGCAGAGTGGAGCTGACTGTTGGAAGCTGGAGCTGCAAAGGGGCTTCCTTTGTGTGCACCCTCTGTAACCTGACTGAGTTGACCCACATTTTGGTGTCTTTATTCACACGGACATTAGTAACCGTCGCCTAGGCCCCCTCGCTCCTCTCCTCCACAGATGTGTTTCATCTGCGTGAGTCAAACGCCAGTCAATGTCAAGCCATCTTCTCTGGACACATTCAGACCCCACGGTTAAAGTCAACTTGAAAGAAAGGCATACTGAGCGCCACCTCTCTACTGTACCTGACTCCCGCCCAGTTGTTCACCCATCACTCCCTCATCATCCAGGCACTCCTGGAGGTCTGCAGGTGCTCAGGTGTGCAGGAACCCCCCATGTCCAAAGTTAGGGAGCGTCTGCGCATCCACTTCCGGGTACACCCACATAAGCAGCAGAGCGGCACCAGCGACCTGATTTCTGGTGCACATTCTGACTTCACTGAAATGGTTAAGGGTTTCTTGAAACTGCAGTGAACATAAACGACATAAGCAAAGCCAGCAGAATCCAGTAGATTGTCTGTGACAATTCTAGAGGAAGAGACAATATGACTGTGAGTAGTACTCTAGCACATGCTTAATACGGTAGCCCTCAGAGGCCAGTCCTCAGCTTGTTGTTCCCTGAGTAGTAGCTCTCTCTTGTGGTTCATTATAAAATGGATTGATTCAGGAAAATGGCTAGGCTTGGAACCCGTATGAGGAACACATGCACACGGCTTCTCCCCGAGAAGTACAGCAAGCCCTTTGAATGTCTGAAAGCTACTTTGAGAAGCGCAGCATGCTTGGCCTTGCCATCTCACTTCCTGGAACAGAAAGTTCACAAGACGTGCAAAATGATGAATCAAAAGTGCCATGACAAAATGTAGGTGGGCATCAAATGTCGCCTCCCAAGGCCAGGTATCTGCTCAGCTTTCAAACTCAAAACGAACACCAGGGAAGGATCCGTGGCAGTGTATGGAAATGTTTTTCATAATTCCAAACAAAAGTGAGAAGGTTCAGGAGACAGTTCCTGTCTTCAGAAGTCCCTCCTCCATCCACTGGCAGAGGGCTTGCTGCACCGTTAGCCTTTTGGTCTTGGCCAGCACTCAGTATTTGAACAGATTCTCATTGGCAGTGCTGGGCATTTTGAAACAAACGACTGGGCTTTTGAGCGCTGATTGATGTGTTTAAATTGTCCACATTGTCCAGCTCAAGTATAACATTGTCATGGCTCAAACCTACAGATGGGACCAGCTACATAGTTTATGGGGCCTAGTGCAAAATGGCAGGACCCCAGTTGTGCAGTTGTAAGTGCTCAGCTGCTGACCAAAAAGTTAGCAGTTCAAACCCATCAGCCAATCCACAGGAGAAAGATAAGGCAGTCTGCTTCTGTAAAGATTGACAGCCTTGAAAACCCTGTGGTGCAGTTCCACTCTGTCCTCTAGGGGCGCTGTAAGTCGAAATCGACTCCATAGCAGTGGGTGTGGTTTGGGCTTTGCTTTTGTGAAGACTGACAGCCTTTGAAACCCTGTGGGGCAGTTCCACTCTGTCTTCTAGGGGCGCCGTGAGTAGGAATTAACTGGCTGGCGCACATTCACTACAACAGTGCAAAATGAAGGTCCTGGGATGGCTCCAACGATTAACACACTTGATGCCAACTGGAAAGTCGGAGGTTCGAGTCTCCTCAGTGATGCCTTGGGAGACAGGCCCAATGATCTGCTTCTGAAAACCTTATGGAGCAGTTCTACTTCGCACACCAGGGCTGCCAGGGTGGGAATCGACTCTGTGGCACCAAACAAGTGCAAAGTGAAAATTCAGAGACGCAAGTTCAACCATATTCAGCATTTCAAGATGGCAACCACAGAATGTTCAGCTAAGCATGGGCCCTTCTGAGCGCCGGGCCCTCTATGACAGCACAGGCCACAGCCCCACAGAGCCAGCCCTGCTCCCAGTTGCTGCTGAGTAGACTCTGCATGGCGACCCCATGTGTGTCACAATAGAACTATGCTCCAGGGGTTTTCGGTGGCTGATTTCTTCGAAGGAGAGTGCCAGGCGTTTCTTGTGAGGCGCCTCTGGGTGGACCCCACCTCTAGCCTTTCTGTTAATAGTTGAGCACTGATACCATTTGCACTACCCAGAGATTCAGCCCTACCCTACAGACCGTGTTTAACAAAACAACTGTGTGATTTTGGAATTCATAGATAAAGACGCCACACAATTCAGGCCGTCGGCCTGGCTGGTTTAAACTCTACAGAGAAATTCACACGTCAGAGGATGTGCTTGGAAAAAGAATGGCGGGGATAAGGGACTATCCGCAGATGGTTGTCATTGGGATTTGTTAACAGAAAGCTCTCTGAATCCCAGGGTGAAGGGGAGAACAGGGGCAGGGCTGGCAACTGTAAGGCGGAGCTCCGTGCTTTGTGGGGGTCTGAGAGGGAAGCCAGCCTCTCCAGGGCGTGTGTCTGAGCAGGTCTGCGTGTGGACACACCGGTAGCTGCCCCTGGCCGTGTGCTCACTGCCCTACCACTTGAGAACAGAGATGATAGTTCTGTCTGATTCCACGTCAGTGGCATCGTGCGTTCGGCATCTGAGTCCGGGTGTGCACGTCTTTTGCTTTTGGGACCTGACCCACATTGTAGCAAAATCCCACCCCCAGTGTCTGAATACTCCATGAGCAAGGTAGGCCTGGCCTTCTTACTCATCCGTAGTGAACGGTCTCCCATTGTTTCCACCACACCCAAGATTCTGCTCCGAGGTGTGACAGGCTTCTCTCTGTCTCCCAAGCCCATAGCACCTTCCTGCAGCTTCAAAGCCTCTTTTCAAATTTATGATTCCTGACAGGGACAGAGCATGCGGTAAGCACGGGCTTAGTTTTGCTTACTTACTAACCCGTGATGGACAGTTCCACAAGGTTTTCACAAAGCACAGGTAAGCCGGTGCTTACCTTGCTTATTGGGGAATCAGCCCCTGCCCTCCCCTTAAAGGCTCTGCACTCTCTGGGCTTTCCTGCCCACCAGGGGTCTGGGAGCTCTGGTATTTGCCATGGACCCCCGGGGACAGGCATCTGACACAGTGCATTATAAATGCTGCAATTTTTCTAGGGTCTGAGCCTGGTTGGGCTGAGGGGACGTGTTTGGGGCGGCAGAGCATCAGAAAAGGTTTACAGAATGGAACTGGTCCAGAGCGGAAAAGGAGGCTTGGGGCAAAGACTGGATGAGGAGGAGGACAGAGAAGGACTTCTGTTCTGAATCCTGGGTTCACACTGGGGTTGTGGCCTGCCTAGATAAGTGGACACCTGAGGAGGAGACAAGGGGGTGTGTCTCCTGAACAAATGCCACTGGCTTTGGACTCAGGTCCTTTCCCAAGTGATGATAGGGAGGGGCCGAGAAAGGAGAGGAGGAAGGAAGGAAGGGAGGGGAAAAGGAACGTAAGAAGGAAGGAAGGAAGGAGGGAGAGGGGAAGGGAGGGAAGGAGGGGGGATGAAAAGGGAGAGCAGGAAGGGAGCTGCCACTCAAACGCCCCTGGGCCCCTCGGGGGCTTTTCTTGTGTCCACTCCACTTGGTCCTTGGCTCTGCGTTCTCGGAAAGCATGAAGAAGCCAGGCCTGAGCCGGAACGCGGCTGAAGCAGACCGCTGGGGCGCGCCGCCAGCCCTTTGGCGGTTCCGCGCCCTTGGGCCCCAGGCCCTCCTGCCGCTCTCCTGGCCCTTGGCTAGGAAGGACCCCGCTCATCCAGGCCAGGTTCACACCTGAGGCCCCGGCAGAGCGGACGTGTCCCTGGAAGCGGAGGGGTGCGAGCCCTGGGGCGCCCGCGGGGAGGCGGCCCCGGAGTCCCTAGACCTGCCCACGGCCCTCCCCCGGCGCTGTCACTCACGGTCCTTCCAGCCAATGCGCGGCCGCCTGTCACCCTCACC